CTCGGCCGACTTCTCTATCTCCTCCTCCCCGTCATCTTCAGCATACTCTTCATCGTCGCTCTGAGAACGAGAAGGAGTTCCGATGAACTCGGGAGGGAGTACTCTGATGGCCTTAGAGACATGGTCAAGCCGGCGGACAAAGCGTTCCTGATAGTAAGCCACCTCACCGATGTCAAACATCATGGAGAACGCTTCATAGAAACGGCTCTTCAGTCTCTCCTCAGCCGCATGCTCAAGTTGGACCGCCTCCTAATGGTCGATCGGTCGTGGCGCTTTGAGCTGCTCGGTCAAGTCCGCAATAGACTTGTTCAGATGCTCAACCTCAAGCTTAAGGGAGTCCACTTGGTCCATAGCCGCCTGAAGAGCCTGAAGGCTGGAGTCCAGCTCGACCTTCAGCTTCTCAGAGGCTTCGAAGCCCTCTTTCCACTAAGAAGCGTTAGCAACCGCCTCGTCCCTCTGTTGTTGCATAGTCACCCGAGCCAGCCACTCCTGCTGAAGAACATCGCCCATCATGACGATGTCCTCGGTCTGCCGGGCTGACTTCTCAGATAATGCGTTCAGGGCTACCCTGTGCTGGATCTCTTACATGGCCAGAGTTCTGGTATTTTCATAGGAAATCTTTTTTATTTCGTCCTTAAGCCGCCTTGATCTTTTCATTCTCCTTGGACCGCCAGTCCATAAAGGCACTGATCCTAAGGAAGAGCTGCATTCGGACAGAAACGAGTTAGTAAGAGCAAAGCATGAAAATAAACTAAGTATTGATACTTAGACAAAATGCAATTACCTCACCGCTGCAGTTAAGCATTGGGACAAGGAAGCCCTCATCAATTCCGCGGAACATGACCCGCTGCTTCTTAACAAATGGCCTTGAGCATGGCCTCCCTGATGGCCTTACAGTCAACGCCAGTGAGCGACTAGCCGGATAGCTTCATGTACATATCCTCGGCGATGTATGCATCAACCATAAAGAAAGTTAGATCATTGAAATTAAAATACAAGTACCCAACATGCTAGTGTCTTATATACCTTCCGAGAAGGGTGGAGGAGATGGTATACGGAACTCGGCCGAGTGGATGGGCAGCGGCTCCCCAATTTCTTAGGTGCGACCGTGCTGCTCATCGGCCGCCTGAGAGGCATCCTTCTGCCACTCATATTCAGTAATTACCTCGACATGCAGAATCGAGGCAGTGTTTCCAGTCATTTTGGATGGGGATGACTTTTCCCCTTCGCCCATGCGGACGGTTTCCTCATGGACCACCTCAGCTTGCAAATCCACGAACTTGGAGCCCCCACTCGGTGTCAGCTGGGGTTGTTCTCCTTTAGACTGCTTAGAAGCAATCTGCGGTGTGGTCTTGGCTGCCTTGGGGGAAGGCTTAGCCTTTGAGGCTGTAGTTTTCCAGGATTTGGACGACTAGCCATCCTTGGAGACAGAAACCGGTTTCTTCCTCTTGGTCCAGGGAGTGGAAGCTTGAAAAGAACAGAATAAAGCCAAAGTAAGAAACAGTGTCCGAGTAAAATTAGGAAGGACACCCTTCCCAACATTCAGCTCGACAATATAATAAAAAGAATTACGTCCGAGCGAAGTAGGAAAGACACCCTTCCCAACATACCAACTCGGCAATATAATGAAAAGAATTCCATTCGAGTGAAGTAGGAAATGATTCCCTTCCCAACATACTAGCTTAGCAAAAAAAATATATATAAAAAGTGATCAGTACCTCCTTAGCCTGGTCGTACTGTTGCTGACGAAGCTTTTACCGCACCAAGCTGAAGTCGGACATGTTGGTCTCTCCTTTTTGTTCGGGGTCCAACATCGCAAGAGCTTCGTCTGAAAAGAAAATAGAAGAGTTAGAAAATTTTCAAGTTGTAAAAGCATTCGAACGAGCAAGTCACAAGGTTCCACCTTGGGGGTAGATCCGGTATAGGCCGCAGACCGACATGAATACCGGATTCCTAAGCTCGTCGGCTAATGGAATCCAATTAGATGGCACGCTCACAGACTTCCCATTCCTGATCTTAAAATAGCCAAGTTGAAATTCGTTGTCAAGGTGGACGGGCGGCTTAGTGGTTTTATGCATCCCACTTCCGAGCTGGATAGGCTTGGCGTTGAAGCGATTCATCCGCAAATTGACTCTTCATTGCTAGTTCTGATGTGGTAGAATCGGTGCTTCAATTTGCGCCACTTGGACGGCTTATGCATAACCACCAGATATTCTTTCTAGGTGTTCAGAATAAACCAGCCGCCCATCTCAGCATCTAGCCACACCATGGTGTGCATCTCACAAAAAACTGGGGTCCGGATTAAAGCCTTGCCTGAGGCACATCACCAGATAGCTAAATATATTTGTCATACTGTTCGGCACCAGCTGGAAAATGACAATGTTGTATTCGTCTAGTAGAGCCAAGACGAATGGATGTAAGGGGAAGCGAAGGCCCACCTCCAAGGCGGCGCGATAGACACTAAAGCATTTTTTCCTTTGCCTCCTACCTTCCCAGGCTGCCACCGAGTATGAGCGAATCAGCGCCACAATCTAATAGCCTTCCCCAAGTTGGAGGAATTCTTTGAACTCTTCAAATTTATGGTTCAAAAAACCTAGGGCAACGTCGCCGACCGTACAGGCACATGGGTCTTTGAAGTTCTCGACATTGTCCTCTTCGGCCGCCTAATCGGCGTCCGGATTTTCAACTTCTTGTTCGGCAGCCTAGGGTTTAGGGGCCCTGGCCGAGCCGAATTCAGAGGACAACACTGTGTCCAGGGCAGCAGCCTCGGTCGAGCTTCCCCCCTAGAGCCCTAGCCGGCTTTAGTAACAATGGTGCCCTCAGGCACCGAGGGTCTTTTACCCTTTTCTTTCTTCCCTCCATCAGTGTCCGCCTGATTTCCCGAAGGAAAAGCACTGCGAGTGGGAAAGTCGGACGATTCAGAAATATGTACCCCAATCCTAGGCCTGGCCGACCTGGTAGATTACGTTGAGGGTTGTTGGGGTATCTTGCCCGGAAAAGGAGGCAGTCACCTCCACCATTGAACAGGCACTACCACTAACAGTAGCACCCGTACTCTCCCCGTCTGTATTACTTGGATCATAGGGGACTAAGGGATTGACCATATTGTCGTCTTGGTTTCTAGCGTCGTCACGCTCGTACGTTTGTCTCGTACGCGCCATGTTCAACTGCAAGGACAATGAAGAACAGGTGGGGGTGAGTTGGTACGCATTACAAAGGGACCCACTCTAAAGAGAGGAGGAGTCGTCTCCGTCCACTCTAAACTTTTCAGTCCCAGGCGAACGACTAACCTCATGAGGAGAAACGGACGTGTCCGAGTATAGTGCCAGTTCGTGTTTATAAAAACTAAAGCAAGTATGGAAAAGGAAAAAATAAAGAAAAGTTGACGGTATACCTCTGTTACGAGTAGAAAACTTGAAGACTTTGAAGATCTTGGTGGGTTGACCGAAAGAAAAAAAACGGAGAATAGGTGTCCCACTTGATTATAGGCAGCACCCCTCGTCCGCATAATTTCAAAACTTAGGTCCAATGATGAAATTAGGCGGACGAATCAAGGCAATTAGCCCAAAGGATATTTCCCAAAACCAGGCGGATGGTATGGTTTGCCTCTTCCAACCAAATTGCTACATCAGCCTAGAACTCGAACGTCCCTAGACAAGTGAAAATAGAGGAGGCGGCCCGTATGTTACGAACCACCCCCTCTGTGGGGCAAATGTTTTGTGTTAAAAAAACCCAGCACGTGGTCCAATCCCATAGTGACACGTGGACCAATAAAAGGGCGACACTTGTACCAATAGGAAGATGACACGAGGTAAACAAGAAGAGCACCTAAATGAGAGAAGGTCTCCTTACATCATGAGGCTCAAATCCCGAGAAAGGCGCCATAACGGCGCCCGCATAGGACACTTTTCCCTATCTGATTGTGCCGCCAATCAGAGCACACCATTCTAGGTCACTTAACCCTAAATGGCACACATTTCACCCCTGTAAATACCCCAATAATTTATGATGGTAAGGGTGGATTGAGACATATCAATAATTGCATAAGCAATTTGCTCTAACTTCTCTCTACTTTCTATCTCTAAATTCCTTCGTTTTCCGATCACTAACTTGAGTTTATTGTACTTTTTTTCCTTAGCTATAGTTTTTATCCCAAAGGGTTTTACCTAACAAGGTTTTAATGAGGCAACTAATACCCTATTATTCTATGGATATTCAAAGGGGAGTGTTAAGAGTTACATATTTCAATATAGTGTGAATGTCTACACTTTAGTTTCTTCATTGCAATTACTGTATAGCCAACTTTACTGTCACCCCCTAATATTATACCCCACAATGTAATACTCCTGTTTTTAATTACTTACTTCATTTCTCCATTCGAAAAGTTTCATGAGAAATAATAAAATATGGTGGTAGTGGTGTTGGTAAAAGAATAAAAAAATTTACAAAAATAATTGAGAGAGGATATGAAATTAATAAAATATGATTTATGTTGGGTCCAATGGTTTAGAGAAATGAATTAAATATAGTAAAAACTTTTCAAATAAAGAAATAGAGCAAGTAATTAAAAACGATCAGAAATAAAAAGTGGAGCAAATAATTAAAAAGGGAGGGAGTAGTAATTTGCACCACTATAAAAAGCCATGCAAATTTACTTATTAAAAATATTACAAAAGTAATATATACACAAAGTAGTAATTCTCTAATTCTACGTATTTTACCTTCTTCTCTTAATCCTCTAATTTCTATATATTTCATAAACAATACATTTCCTAAAAATTTTATGACATTAATTACTTTCTTCTCTTTTTCACATAAAATACCCATTAAATGTCATTATTTACCTTCTATGTTTCCCATATAAATAAATACATCTACTTTACAAAATTACATACTCTATCCATTACCCTTAATTCCCGTAAAAAATAAATAGAAACAATCACTATATTATGAAACAAGGGAGTACAAGAAAAACTATAGCAACCCAAAAGACAATTTAATTTAAGCTAACAAAACTGAGAACAACACATATTCATTCTAAAACTCGAAAATCACTGTTGACAGAATTTTATCTGACAGCAAGAAACGCCTATCAAACTATAGTCAGCAAATCTGAACATCAGCCTGCACTAAAATCAGAATCAGATGCAGATTACAGAATTAACACCTACTAGTATTAATAGTTTAATAACAATCTTAAGAAACAATCCTCGGAAATTCCTCTTTCACCACCAAGCTTTAACCAAAATTGCAAAACTAGGGAAGGGCAAAGTGACAAGTCCCTAGGTTTCATTCATATATATATGTTCCTGTTAGACATTTATCCACTCTTTGTGCACGTAAATAGCTTGATTGGTGTAAAGTGTAGTACTGCATTTCCATAAAATAGGTGTGCCTATCAATACTGCTCCTCAAACTGCTGACCCAGTTTCTATGAATAACATTGTCACAACTTGGCAAATCAATAGGTTCTTCATGCTGAAATGAACCAAACCTTACGTTTGTTCCCCCAACTTCTGCTAAAAGTCTTCTCAAATCTCCCATGTACTATTAATGTCAGCAGGTTGGTTTTCGGTCTTCTCCAAGGCAGCCCATAAAATAGAGTAAAAATCAAACCAAATCACACATTAATCCCATCATATTGTGAAGATGAAAAACCTGTAAAAGGTACCAAAGGGGATAGTCACATGTAGTCTTGCTGTAAAAGGTACTTCAATCACTAGCAGAAACTTATTTAGCATACCTAGTCAACTCCTTGGGGAGCAATCAGCATATTATCCTACCTCTTTGCAGCATATTCAACTAATTCAACTTACACTATCACATAAATCATGGAAGCAACTGACACACTTGAAGTGAGGAGATATATCAAACCTTTAAAGCAAGTGTCAAGTACAGCAAGCCCAACAATAACACAATTAGTGGGGCCCAAAGCCACGTATGTTTTGGGTTTATGTTGTGTTTCATATCAAAGAAGAAGCATCATACACAAGCACAAAAGAGCCAATTATATAAGCATTCAAAACTACCTTGGTTGACGAAAAGTTCTGATGCAATGTCATGCATAATTAAAGACAACTAATCATTGAGAATATGTCTTGCACAGCATTTTATATGTCTTGAATGAAAGGAATAGTACAAATTTTTGTGTGACCATAATGTTTCTATAAGTCCTTGCTTAGATTGCAGTTACTGGGGTAGAATAAATCATTGTTAATTATAATGGTGCTGTAGCAGAAGCCTGGAATGAGGGGAAAGATTTGGGCCTGAATCGTTTACCCTTGAAAGAAGGGTAATACACTACCTACCCACCAACCCCCAGTGTAATTTATTCCTGTTTAAAATTTTAACCCACATTTCTTCTATTTGCCTGTTTCCAATTCTCCTTACCAGGCTACCAACAGTCATCCTTTCTTTCTCTTCTATATATGAATATATCTATCTCGATTTACTTGTTAAGTTAATTTTTGCCAACAATCTGGATTGTTCCTCCTAAATTATCAAATGCAAATCTCTGCCAAGTTCATGAAATGGAAATTTATTCCCATCTTTTTATTCACTTCTGTTGTTTTTTTTTTTTTTTTTTCCTTCTTCTTTTCTTTTTTGGGTTTTTCTAAGCTATTCCCTTGAGGTTGTTGAGTATCTAAGGTATGCCTATGCTTTTTCAAAATTACAAGTTGTGCCCTCCAATTTAAGTTGTTTAATCAATCGTACCCTCTGACGTTATCTCGAAAATAGTAATCGTAAGAAAATGGGAAGTAATAAGAAGCTGATGAGAAAAGAGAAGAATTACTCCTAGAACTTGATATATCAATGGTTGCTTTTAGAAGAAAGAAGAAAAAGTGGATGATAAAATGTGGAAAAAAATGTTAAATGTTAATCCCCTTGTATAACTCTAACCCAATTTGGGCGTCACATTTCACTTCAAAGTGGGGTAATTAACAATTATCACAAATACTAACGTTGGGTTAATGTCAAAGGGTACGGTTGAATAAACACCTTAAGTGGGAGGCCATATCTTGTAATTTTGAAAAAGCATTGACACACCTTAGAAACTCAACAACCTCACGGACATATCTTAGAAAAACCCTTCTTTTTTATTTTTTTTAGAAGACTTTCAAGAAACCTGCATCGAAATTCTGATTGAGATATTAAATTTTAGGTTATAAGTTTTGAGAAAATACAAGTTAATCTTAATGATTGATATATTTTGTCAATCTAGTGGCAATATTGTAAATCAGTGTCCTTTTTTTAATTATTTATGGGCAAAACCGCTACTTGAACTAGTGATTTTAGTGCATAACCGCTACTTCAAGTAGCGGTTTTGCCCATGAACAATTATAAAAGCGAACTTATGTACAATATTGGCACTAGATTGAAAAAATTTGTCAATCATAAAGATTAACTGGGTTCACCTCACAAGTTTTATATATATATATATATATATATATATATATTTTTTTTTTTTTTTTTTTTTTTTTTGCAGCTTTCATTTGATGTTGAATTTCAAAGTAGCATTTTGATAAAATTTATGAGTTTGTTTCTATCTGTTATATATATGTTGTTGAATTCTATTTGCATCGTTGCGGTTTGATTCTTGAATCTATTGTAGGATTTCGTTGCAATTTGTGTTGAAGATAAAATTGTTTCTCTCGTCAAAATGAAGAAGTTATTATCCCAGTATTTGTTTAGCTCATGTCAAACCTTATCAAAACTAACTCCTGAGTAATCCCTTCTCCTTAATTAGTCCTCCAATATCAATTCCCCCCTGTAATGAGTCCATCCATACCATGCAAGGCCTAAAAGTGAAAGGGAAATTTTATAAAACTGATATTCATTCTATACAAAATAGAATGTTACAGAAAAATCATGTCTGAAATATGGGCATGGCAGAGATGTGAGGTGGATCTACTGAAAAAGATCTAGAAGTAAAGTGGAGAATCTACTGTCTGACCCGACATTGATTTAAAGAGTTGAACAATGATGATATTATGATATCAAAGGGAAAAAAAAAAAAAACATTAACCCAAAACAGAAGGGGTAAATAGGGTCATGAATTAATTAGGGGTATTGTGGATAGGGCTGAGCGGAGAAGGATCCACATGAGTGACACATGAGCAAAATTACTAGTGTTGACATCCAAAATGAACACAAACACAAACTATGCCCAATGTTTCATCCAACAAGCTCACAGGTCACCCCATGACAGGTTACCACATCAAGAGAGAGAATTCAGTAAAAAAAAACCAGACAGCTGAACATATAACCAGCATGCAATAAGTATAAGACGACATGAGGACTATAACCAGAACAAAGACAGTATTTGGCATGTCCATCTTACTTCAAACATGATTAACATTAAACTCATAGCATCAAGCTAATTATCCATAACATCATCAATGAAACATTCAAAATACAGGATTTAAAAAGAAAGCATGCTTAATAAAGTCCAATGGAGAACATACCAAGTAAACTATGCAAGTATCTTCTTAGATTTATCAGATTTATCCTGTGCCAAGGACTGATCTTGCCTTTTCCTGCAAAAAAGTTTCACACGTAGCTTTTTATATAACAGAGATATAGACATCAGGTACTGTAATATCATGCAACGAGTTATCAGTATAGTTGAACAAGTCAACAACCCTCAAGCATTTCAGCTACCACTAATTAAAAATTGCACCAATCTTGCATATTACTTGTACAATTGTACTAGAAATAAACAATAATGACACCCGAAACCTTTACCACCATTATAAAACAGACAATTACTAGCATAAAAGAAAGAAGAGGATCCATAAACAGGATTCAATTAGGGTAAAAAAATAAAGGAAAATAAAGATACAACTTTATGACATGCCCTGTAGAATAACGTTCTTACAAAGTTGTGGGATGCTTCTATCTCCCTCTCCCTCTTCCTCACTCCCTTCCCCACCTAATCTTTATTAGAAGTATTCCCTCCATCCCACATTCCCACTAAAAAAAATAGAAAGGTTTGATTCTCATATCAGTAGGACATTAAGGTGGTGTCACTTATGTAAAACAAGAGAACTAGAACAAAGTCAAGCATGTACTCAGCATTAAAATTAAACAGAAAATTTTGTCAAACAACTACCTTGTAGAAATAATGTTTTTTAAATGATCAATTTATAAATCCATACTTATGTTCTTGCTACTACTTAACAAAAACAGTCTAATTCTCTGTCAGAGTATCAAAATTTAGAGTTTTAGGACTTAGGCTCTGTTCTTTGCACCATGTTTTCACTTATTTCATACCTCCTCTGTTCTTTCTAAATTGCAACGTTGGAAATTTCACACAAACCAATGCACATTTTATAACGTTTATATCCTAAAATTATCACAAGGTGATATTTTAAAAATATATTTCGAGATGAATCTAACAAGATTCCACTTGACTTTACTTATTCCAACATATAAATCACTAAAGGCAATTAAAGTAGTGGGTGTGAATAGTGTAAGATTTCAAATATTGTGAATACAAAAGAACAGATGAAGTATAAGACAAGGGTTAGTCAGTTTTGATACTATAAGATAACTAGATTAGTTCCCGTGTTATGCACGATTTGTTTCAATATCCATTATTAAACTATCATTATAATTAATTTTTTTATAAACAAAATAAAATCTAAAACTATAGTTGATAAATGATTACGAAAGATATATTAGATATAAAATGATAGAAAATTATCAAAATTATGTTAAGAATTTTTTATTATTTTTTTATATCTATATATATTTATGTTAAAGAAATGTCAAATCTTTTTTATTTTAAGTAATTATATTGTATAAGACTAGGGAATTATTTTTGTATAAAATTTGTTTCTATAATAGAATTTTATTAGAAATATAAATAAATAAATTAACTAAAATAAAAAACTAAGGATACACCAGGAGATGACACATGTCATTGGTGGTGTGTCTTTTAGTATATAATTATTGATGATTAATATGTTCCAATAACGTCTAATAGGGTTGATAAGTTAGATATGATAATGTATGATAAGGGTTGACAAGTTTTGAAAAGATTGATAAAGGCTAATAAGTTTAAATAAGATAGTTCAAATGTCTCATTTTGTCTTTCTGTACTATTCACATTAACCACTTTGACCACGGTTAATGATTTATAAATAAAAATAAAAATAAAATAAAAAATTAAAAAAAATAAAAAAGTTCAAAAAAAAAAAAACAATCATATGGGTACTTGTTAGAATCGTCTCATTGTATAGTTTCTGTATATCAAATTTTTTTATAATTTCTTATTGATAATTAAATATATTATTAGTCAAACATTTACATTGGCATACGTGCCCAGTTTGACTCGGGCATTTAATCTTAAACAAAAGGAGTATAAGATACGTGAAATTTAAGTAAAGAGAACACTACCTTATAAGATATTCCCCCCATCCCAACACTACCTTATAAGTTAGATATGATAATGTATGATAAGGGTTGACAAGTTTTGAAAAGATTGATAAAGGCTAATAAGTTTAAATAAGATAGTTCAAATGTCTCATTTTGTCTTTCTGTACTATTCACATTAACCACTTTGACCACGGTTAATGATTTATAAATAAAAATAAAAATAAAATAAAAAATTAAAAAAAATAAAAAAGTTCAAAAAAAAAAAAAACAATCATATGGGTACTTGTTAGAATCGTCTCATTGTATAGTTTCTGTATATCAAATTTTTTTATAATTTCTTATTGATAATTAAATATATTATTAGTCAAACATTTACATTGGCATACGTGCCCAGTTTGACTCGGGCATTTAATCTTAAACAAAAGGAGTATAAGATACGTGAAATTTAAGTAAAGAGAACACTACCTTATAAGATATTCCCCCCATCCCATCCCAACTCTCATGGTTCCCACACAAACCAACTACTATATTTTTTATTATTACTTTTTTCTTTGTCACATCCCTTACTTTCCTATAAAATGCTAACTCCACTATCCTTACTTATGATTTTTTTAATACCCCTACTACCCACTACCCCACTTGCATCTTATTCACTCAGGGCAACAAGAACGTACAATATTTTCATTAACATTTTTAGAAAACGACACATGTCTGAATATAGGTGTATGCTAAGAATAGTTTTTAACAAATTTTCAAAAGAGTAACTTTACAACAACAAAAATTTACTATTCATCCTAAATTATATATTATCAAACTGTCACTAGCCTTTAATGATGGGGGTTAAACAAAACATAAACCAAAATTCTAAGACACGTCATGATGGCAAGGGTAAAGCTACTAACATTTAACCCTGAAGTCCCGAGTCCCAAATTATATAATAAACAGGAGCGCCTAGTCTCTACTCTCTAACACTAAGATAATTGGATGGTATAATATACTTGTAGCTCCCTACAACATACTTTTGTAGGAACAAGTCGAGATATAATTTTCATTTTCACTTAATTGGTTAATAAAAAGTTCAAATTTTTAAAACCATGACAAAATTTGGAAAAACAATTCTTACAACCAGCCATTTTGAAATACTATATCAATTAATTCTCAACGCCTTTACCAACGACTTTCATGCATACTAGTTTTTTAATATTTACTAAATTGACATGATAAAGAAACTTCTTATTAAAGAGCTACAGAAACATACTTCTTCCGTTCCCCTATTATTGCAACATGGGTGGGGGACACAAATTTTAAGAAGAGGAGAGAGATAAAGAGGAATAAATATATGAACCCATGTGATGAGGAGAGAGAAGGAGAGAAAACTTGTACAAATAAGGAAATGTTGCAATATTTGTGAAACTTATTAAAATTAAAATGCTAATTGTTGTAATATTTGTTAAACGGAGGAAGTATTTTTTTAGGCAAAAGCATACATACGACAAAAATAAAAGATGGTATTGCCACTAATGGAAGCCGCAAATTTTGCAAAAATTTTATTTGCACCAACTCCAATTTTATTTGTCATTCTTCAATGGTAAGTTGTTTAAACTATTTGTGGAAACTAAAGGTGATTAAAACATACATACTATAGTTAAAATCGCTAATTTACAAAGGGTTTAGGTAAAATTATTATCGCCGTTGTTACAACTTGAAAAAGCTTTTTTCATGATTGATTTTCTAGCTTCAAGTTTTACACGAAAGGATCCTAAAATTACCTACTATGATTTTTAATGGTGTAAATTAAGGAATAAAAAGTGGCTTCAATTTTCATAAAATTAGGACCTTTTGAATAATTTAATTCATAACATTATGTGTGAAACATAACTAAGGACTATATTTCAAATCATAAGCCTATAAATCAAAATTTAAACTTCTTTGCAAAAACCAATCTTATTCACCATTGAGACTCTTTAGGGGTAATTCAGTAGGCCTTTTTAAGAAGAGAGAAAGAAGAGGAAGTGAGAGAAAAGGAGAAGGGAAGAAGATGACGAGAACAGGCTTTCCATGGAACTAACACAAAGGATTTTCACATAACTAGTCATTTTCAACTAGGGAGAATTGACTGCGTTGGTTTAGGCATGTCAAACGTAGATCAGAAGATGCACAAGTAAGGAAAGTACAAGGTTGCGATCAAGGGGATCTCATGAGAGGAAGAAGAAGACCAAAGATGACTTTAGCAAAAGGAGTTGAGAAGGACATGAACAAGTTGGGTTTACGGGGGCAACATTGAACAAGAATCATAATTAGCGAGCACATGAGATAAAACCTTGGTTCATGTAACCGACCTCATCTTTGGATTAAGGTTGTGAATATTGTTGTACATTATAAGATGGATGCAAAAGTTGGGATTATATTAAAATTTTTGAAAGGTTAGACCAATATGAGAAGGTCCCTCAACATTGGGATTATCAATGACATTTATTTAAAACCAAATGAAATAAAAAGGAGCATTGCAGATTCAAAAACAGATCTTCATAGAGAAGTGAAAACTAATGAAGAAAGAAGTAAAACAATGATTAGGGACTCATGAAGAGAGTAAAAGATCGGAGAGAGAGAAGGAAAAAAGATCAAAGGGAGAGACTAAAGTACTAAACATAAAAATGCTTGACAATTAAAGCAATGCAAAACTAGACTGCTACTCAATTTCAATTTAGGTTTTGTTCAATTTGGGTATTTAATATTTAGGGTTTTACTCCCAAATTGGGGATTTATATGGTTGACACAAAAGACAATTCATGCATTTGATTAAGGTATCTCACTCGATTACTCTAATTTAAATGCCAAGTACTATTTAATTTGAAAATTTTTCAGCTTTTCTTTAGAGAGTTTACAGGAAGATAAACCAAGATGCAGAGGCGGTTCCGGTCGACAGAACAGGATCCCCAAATTTTAGGGGCCCCGAATTTTGGATATAGGTTAATTACTTTCATTGAGTTACAAGAAAATGAAATTGGAGTAGTGGTTAAGAGGTTGGTGTGTTGTGTTTAAGGTCTTGAGTTCAAGTCCTATCAACTACACTTCTATATTTTTTTTTTTTTTTTTGTTTTAAGCACAACAGCTAGACATTCATTAAATGCGTGATACATTAATTGGAAACCAAAACTGCCCTTAATCTCCTTTTTTCTGCCTCAATTTTCGCATATTTCATTAACATCAATTTAATTTCCAAAATTTTTTTATCTCCCAAAAAAAATTTAATTACCATTGTCAATTTGTCATCAAATTTGATTCTTTTATCTCCCAAAATTGATTTCACTCCTATCAATTCTTTTTCAACACTTAAATCTTTAATTTTTACTGTTTAATGTAACAAAGTTTTTGGTTTAATAAAAATTTGTTATTTAATTTACATACACTCCCGTTCTTTTTTAATCACAATGTTGAAATTCATGCTTAACAATCCACAATTTATAACATTACTTTTTGAATTATGTTATAGTAAAAATTTTACAAACTTGATATTTTGAAAGTATATTTCAAGATATCTTTAACAAGATCACACGTAACTATATTTTTTTTCGGTGTATTAAAATCACAAAAGAACTGAAGAGTATTAATCGAGGGCCTCATTTTAAGAAACTGCACAGGGCCCTATTGTTGTGGCGACATTGGAGCCCCGGCACTGCCAAGATGTGCTGCATACTACAAATCCTCAAAGGCACTGCGGCGTTCACCTTGTAAAAAGCACTAAGAGGCGCATTCCTTTTCGCACTTTCTAGAAATTGCACGGAAGGTGGATTCGCTGTGGCCTGCACCTAGGGCGAACTTTACAAAAATAAGGAAAGGATCTATGGTTTTTATTGGCTTGCCCAAATGGATCTAATGCTAGCTATAACATATTCATTAATGACTAACTTAGCATAATGACTAAAAATTAAAGGCACTGCATACTGCATTGATGAGAAGAAATATACTTGCCATTTCAAAATGTAATAAGTTTGATCTGTCAGTTCAACTGTAGCTCTTTTTCAAATGTTTATCAAAAAAATCACTCAGGAAAATCATGAGCAGTGTTGCTTCACTTGCAATCCAATTAGTTATCATGGCATAGAAAGATAAGATGGAAACAAAAATAATGGAATATACAAAATGTACTGAGGAACAATCAAATTGACACCAGACTATAAAATTCTTGAGTAGTAATTGACACCATAGTACAGATAATATGAAAGCTAACTAGTCCAGACTGAATCATAATACAGATGCGGAATGTCCATTCATGGTTACTCTTTGATATTCAAAATGTAGGCAAGAAGATTATCTCAAATATATAAAAGCATAAAACTTACTTGTCAAATATTTGTATAAGTGACCGTGGTCTTTCATATCCATCCTTCTGTTCAGGCTTCTTCCTATTTGGTCCTCTCGATTCAGGTTTCCACGTTGCTTTACTTAAAGATTCTCCCAGCAATTCAGCAATATTAGACGCCATAGATTCTGCCCTTAGCTTATAAGGAAATTTATCTTCGTTAAAATGGTTTGACAACCACATATACATAGAACAAACTTGGTGCTTAGTCTCAAGATCTAATAGCTCTGAATCATTTTTAGCAGAATTCTTAGGAATGCCCATAGCTATATTGACAGGAAGCTGTTGACTAAATGATGAAGCAAACTTTAGGAGATGATACATTGCCTTTGGGTCTCGAATGTTAACAGGAGCAAAGCAAAAATTATAGCGATCTTCAAGTGATAAACCCGGAACTTTCTCCAGCATATTAGCGACCTTCTTTATACCAGCATGTTGACACAAGAAGTAAGATCCATCAAGGCGACAATTTTCAGCAAACTTTTCAAGAAGTTGAGCAAAAGTTGTATCAGGTAGTTTCCCCGCAAAAAACTCAACTTGCTCATAACATGGAAATAGACCCACTTTCTCAACATCCTCAAAAGGTTGTTTTAGACATTCAATTAGATAATCAAGATCTTCCATATTCAAAGTAGTGCAAAGACCATCTGGATAGATACTTCCTCTCCTACCAGCCCTACCTGCAATTTGTTTCACCTGTGAGGCTGGAACGGGAACAACCTTGTCCCCATTGTACTTTGAAAGGGTATAGAAGACTACCCTTCTTATGTTAAGATTCAAGCCCATTCCTACAGCATCACTAGCAACTAAGACATCGAATTCGTTATCTTGGTCATTAAACAGAGTAGCTTGCTGCCTGCGAGTTTCCGGCGGCAAAGCACCATAAATAACACAACAACGGTGCTTAGTTTGCTTTTCAATAGCTAATTTGACCTCAAAAATCTCCCTCCTGGAGAACGCAACTACACAGTCACCAGACTTTACATTTCGAAGATCCGCTTGCAATGTCTTAGCTTCAACCACCAATGGTTTAAATCTACCATAGTGCTGTTCCACCAACTCATCTCCTGTATCTGAACAAATCTTCCGAACAATCTTTAATACACTTGGATCACCACATAGATGTATTTCATCAGCCTTTAGTCCTAATAATGCCCTAGTCCATGCAAATCCTCTGCAAGAATCAGCCATCATTTGTATCTCATCTATAACAGCAACATCATACATTTCGTCAGTCGACACCATTTCAACCGTGCAGGCAACGTGATTAGAAAAGGGCACAACTTTCTTCTCCTGTCCAGTAAGCATACTACAATAAACACCGAGATCATTAACCTTATCAAAAACTTCCATCGCCAACAACCTCAATGGACTACAATATATCCCTTTCTTTGCTTCCATGAACCGTTGCAAAGCATTATATGTCTTCCCACTATTAGTAGGCCCACAATGATAAACAACCTTGCGTTTCATTGCCCTTGCAAAGGGATACCAAGTGTGAGGTTTGGTAAGATCAGCAGATTCAACCATACTTCGAAAATTCTTAATCTTATCAGGAAACTCTTCAAGACAAAATTCAACAAACACGGGAAACAAAAACCTCTCCGCTTCATCACTCGGTCCCAAAGAAAGCAAGTACTTAGCAATATCATTCCGGCAATGTTTTATGAAAAAAGCCCTGAATTTATGTACTGCAGTTGGAAAAATCGACGCCCCAATGTATATAGCTAAAGCTTGATTCGTTGCCCAAGCAGACCGCAAAAAACGCCCAAAAATATCATGCAACAACTCCCAATCCTCCCTGCCTAATTTCCCATCCCGGGGCAACTCACAAAGCTGCCTATAAATTTCTACGGGGTCAATCGAGGCAACATGCTCAAACCCTTCATAGTTTCCAGAGGAACTTAACTCGCCATTATTAACATCATGCTCATTTGTGATATCATTATCAACTAAACCATCATTATTAGCAGCTATATCACTGGTATCAACAATAACATTATCGTCTTTTCTTTCATTAACATCAGTTTCAACAAAAGTCGAAAAAGCCTTAACACCATATACATTAAATTTTGGCAGTAATGACAACGATGACACTCTTAAGAACGAATTAGAAGACGAAGGAAAACCATTACTTGGAATACAATAATTGTGAAGATGACAAATAGGGTTTAAAAGTAAAACCCTAACCTGAGAAATGGTTTGCTTGGACGAATAGCGACGGATAAAATGCGTCAATCGGCCTCCCGCCATTGAAGAAAGCTAGATGAGCATTGAATGACTGAATTTGCAGAGGCAGATAGAGCAGACGTTTGTCTGAAAATGGAGATTTTTGAAGAAGAAGCTAGTGGACGGAAAGGAGGAGAGAGAAAAGCGGGAAATCGAGAAAGGCCGAAATGTTCGAAGAATGCCATAGAATTGGGCCACCATATGTGGAGAGTAGATTGTTAAACATCTAATTGGTATACACTAGACCCTAGTGTAGGTAGGGATACCTACACCCCCTCTAAACGATGCGTTTATCATGTTACCCACATCCCATAACCCACTAACCTACTGTAACTACCCACCATTCTCTCTAAAACCTTCTTCTTCATTTCTCTAGACTTTCTCTCTCATCAAAACTAGAAAATATGAACCAAAATTGCTTCAAAATACTACAAAATTGCTTCAAAATACTACGAAATTGCTTCAAAATATTGCTAAATTCCTTCAAATGTCTACATTTGTGAAGAAATTCAACAATCGCAACAACATTCACAGAAAGAGTAAGTAATTTTACTAAATTTTTTTGTATGAACCTATTTTTTCTACTACGTATTTCATTTTGAAATTACATGTTCAGAAACATAATCTAACTTGATTAGAACTATTTTATGCAAAAATCATTAAAATCTACTATGTTTTGTGTTTTTTTATTTTTTACAGAACCGAAAAATATATTTCGAATTAGAGAGATAAAGAGAATGATGATTCAGAGAAGAATCATGTTCGTTGAACATAACAAGGCATAGTCTGAAGAAACGTAAGTATTATTTCAAAAACCTATTTAAACAAGAGTAGAAATTTTTTTTAAAAAAAAAACAACGAACAAAAGTCTCAAGTTGTAGATCTAGAACTTTTAAAAGATATTAAAAAGTCTTATGGTATAGATGTTAACATTTCTACGATTCCGAGTTAATATATGAACATATATAGAATTATAAATGTTCATTTGTATATTTGAATTTATTTGAGTTTATATTTGACTTTATATGCCTAAATAAATAATGTTCATTTTTATGATATGTTATGCACATTTATGAAATGCATAAATAATCATTCATTTGAGTTGAGAAACTGACTTATTTATTCTATCAAATCTTTTGATCATTTATGAAATTCATAATGTTCATTTACATATAAAGTAATGTTCATTTTAAAATATATGTTAATATTGGTTCATTTCAGTTTACATATATATTTATATGCCTAAATAACGAATGTTCATTTCTTTTATACATTATCCTCATGTATAATATTGATAATGTTCATTTGTATGCATTAAAACTAATATCTTACAACCAATCTAGCTATATTGTAGTGATGTCCAAAGTTACACATTTGATATAAATTTGCACATGGAATTGAAGAATACGTAGTTGTTTTGGAGAAGATAAAATGGCTTAACAACGCTGATTATACAAACTGCGGAGTATAAATTATGAAGCATATAGAAACATTCACTACTAAACTTAATGAGAGTTAGATTTGTGATTTGAAACCAAATAGTGTAAAAGTGATAAATGTTCAATAATGTAAGATATATTGTTCATTTATAAAGTAGTGTATATAATAATTAACATTTGTTAATTCATTTCGTTCAACAGGTGAACCAAATTAGGAAGCAAGGATGCGGAACTGATGCTATTTGAAGAAAAACACTAAATATAGGTTAAATCGAAGATAAGCAAGGAAGTTTGCAAATGAATAGTACATGTTATATGTTCATTTATGAAAGTGTATATGTTCATTAATGAATGTGTATATGATCATATCTTAAACTTCCTCCATTTCTTTTTACTTGCAACACAGCCTTGTGGCACGTGTTTTGAGGTCGGGTTTATATAATGTAAACGGATAAATTATTCATTATAATTTTTACAAATGATACTTAACCCTATTCTAATCTTCGTGTAAAAATTATATTGATAAAATAGCTCGTTTACCCTCACTAATCATCTCCTAAAATTGCGTGCCTAAAAGGTGTGTTGCAAGTAAAAGAAAACGGAGGAAGTATATAGTTTTATAGATGATTTTTTTTGGAGGAAAATAGACTTATAGATATTATTTGTTAAAAAAATTATTGTAATTGATATTTCATTTTAATCTTTATTTGTATGAAAAAATATATATAATTTTTAGGTTTTATGAATTGGTTGTTGGTTCTTTACTTTTGTTCATTTTCAAATTGATAAATAATCATTTACATATGTTGAATTTTAAACAAACAATATACTAAAAAAGGTACTATATAGAAACAAATTCTTATGTCTTTAACACTTGAAGAACTTTGAACAAGAGCACCTTGATCATTTATTGGAACCGTGGGAGGAATAACTTAAACATTTGTCGATTGAACATTTCTGGAATGGGGTTTAAACATTTCTAGATTGAAGTTTGAACAATCCTGAGTTGAAGTTGGAACAATGCCAAGAACTACGGGTGGAACAAAATATCTAGTTTGAGATTTTGTAGACGCATTAGTACTCTTGGATTAACTTGAGCATCATTTTTAACACCAGCACCACCTTTATTTATAGGAACATTACATTGAGCTTGAGCAGCAGAAACACCAGCAACACTTTTATTTATAGGAATATTTAAATCCTTCGACTGCAAAACAAATTAAATGATCATATTAAAATATATAAATGTTCAATTACAAACACTTAAATAAACAGATAAGAAAAACAAAACTTTAGCAAGATATGAAATATCAGCTTTTTTTCCCACTGCACAAAGTTTTAATATACAATTATAAATGAACATAACAAGTTTCAAAAAATGATCATATTAAATCCTTTAAACACTAAATCCTTCGCCTTCAAATAAAAGTTAAATGATCATATTAAAATATATAAATGTTCAATTTCAAACACTTAAATAAACAGATAAGATCAAAACCTTAGCAAGATATGAAATATCAGTTTTTTTTCTCATTGCACAAAGTTTTAATGTACAATTATAAATGAACATAACATGTTTCAAAAATGAACAATAATTAACAAATACAATGTTCAATAGCAAAATTGCACATGATCAATATGGAAAATTTTGACACATAATATTATCAAGAAAAAATGGTAAAAACAAATAATCATATATGACATAAAAAAATTAAGAAGTACAAATGATAACACATAATTGATTAATTTTAAATATAAAAATGATCCAAAAAAAAAAAAAAAAAGCATAAAAACAAAATCACGCAATTTTCAAACATAGAGCAATGAAATAAATTGAAGCAGCGAAATATTCATAACAAAGTATGAACAATCCAAAAACGTTCATCATAATCATAATCAAATTTTGAAAATTGAAGCAACGAAAAGAATAATAATACATAAATTAAGTTGAAATAAACAGAGCATTATAACACAACAATGTATTGATGATAAAAATTACAAAATTATGATTGTAATTACTCACATTGTTGATGAACAAACGAATCAATCAATCGAACTCTAGAAGACGGAAACACACTTTCGTAATCACGATCGAAATTAGCAGAGGAAGAATCAGCCATTGATGATCAACAACAATTATCAAAATCGTAGGAAAAATAAACGGCAAAATTAGTATAAAATCAAATGAAGAAGATGAATTAACTAGAGAGAATGTAGGTAGAAAAATGGAAATTGATCAATTGAGGAGAGAGAAAATATTGGGTTTAAAATCATTTATATACATAGCTTGAATAATAAGAAACAAGGAATTAAAAAAATAAATAAAAAAAAGGAAAGAATTGAAGCATGAATTAGCTCGTGAGTACTCCCCGCAAGCTACAAAACGGCGTAGCATCAGGGGGTGTAGGTAGACCATCCTACACTAGGATGTAGGGTATAATTTTCACCTACAAATTACCAACTAAAGCCCATAAATTTACATTGAATTGACAATATTGTCCTTGACCCAAAAAAAAAACACTCTCTCATTACCCAAAAAAAATGGATCCACTTTCATTCTACGTTTTTTTTTAAAAAAAATTCAAAGTACGGCAATGTCAAGGCGGCAAGGCAAGAAATTAGCGGCGGCGACGGCGGAGGAAAGGAGGTCTCACGGTGAAAAGGTAGGTTTTTTTCCAAAAAAAAATAAAAAAAAATAAAATTAAAAACCGTCGAGGTGGTGGCGGCGCATGGGGAAGACGCCACGGCGGTGGTGGCGGTGCCAGAAGCAGACGCCAGAACCACGGCCATGGCGCCTGGGTTGGACGCCGCTGCCACGGATCTGGCGTCTGGATTTGGCGCCGCCACCACCGGCGTGGCGTCCTCCCCATGCGCCGCCACCACCGGTGTGGCGTGAAACCCATGCGCCCCTTTTTTTATTATTATTATTTTTTTTTTTTTTGAAAATCAGTTTTCTTTTTTTTTTTGGAAATCAGTTTTTTTTTTTTTGAAAATCGTATTTTTTTTTGTTTTTTGTTTAAGTTTTTTTTTTAATTTAGAATTTTGTTTTGGTTTTTTGTTTTTTAAAATCAGATTTTCTTTATTTTTTTTTTTAAAAATCATTGTTTTTTTAATTTTGTTTTTTGTTTTTTTCAGTAATTTATTTTTGAAATTAAAATTTTGTTTGTGCTTTATGTTTTTTTCAATTTTGTCGTATTTTTTTAACGTTTATACTTCCTTTACATTTCTTTGTATGTTTGTTTTGTACATTTTTTTTATATTTGTTATTGCAATTTGTTAGTATGTTTTTCTATTTAGTTGATATATTTTCGTTTAGTTTATTATTTTTTATTTTGCTTTTATGTTTATATAAATTTTGTATGTGTTGGTATTTTGTTTTTCTTTGTTTGTGTATATTTTATTCTGTAATTTATTTTAAGTGTTCTGTTAATTTCTGTTTCAGGTTACTTTGCTAGTATTTGTTTAGTTCATTTGATTTAGTTTTTGGTAGTTATTTTTCTTATAATTTTTTTAATGTGTATACACTTTTTAATTTTTTGAAGGTGTCGCATTTTCGCCATGGTGCGGGGAAGAATCTAGACCTTATTAGAAGTGGAAACTACTCGATGGAGAGCTCGGGGCCCAAACATCTTAGATCCCGTGGTATTTTGGCCTCAGCTCGTAGAGAACGGGTTCACCATCGGGATGAGGATGAGGATGATGATGATGATGAGGAGGAGGAGGAGGAGAAGGGCGCATATGAGGATGTGGACGATGGGAGTGGACCATATGATGATTACGGTCCATTCAATTAATGGCTAGATGACATGTACGAGACGCATAGGGTAGATGTGCGTAAGGGTAGGGATGGTAGGTTTGTGAGTAGATCTGGCACATCATCTGCGTCCACCGTGTCTGGGGCAAGAAGAAAATGGTCGAGGGCCGTTAATGATTCTTGGGTGGTTAAGGGTGCGGTGCCTAGGGGGCCTATAGACAGGAGTGTGATTCTTAGCTTTCTAGGACACATAGCTACCCGTATCTAGGAGGACTAGGAGAAGGGTTTGGTGACGGGCATTTTGAAATGCCAAACCCGAGAAAAGACTTGTAGCGTTTTGAGCAGATGGGCTGAGGCTTGGCTGGTGGAGAGCGAGATGTTCGACCGACTACAGGGCACTGGGGTGAATCACCTTCCTACCACCATGCACGATAAGATTGATTGGACGCTGATCACGGCTTTCGTTGAGCGATGGCAGCCGGATACGAACTCTTTCCACCTTCCATTCGGTGAGATGACGATCATGTTGCATGACGTCGAGGCCATTCTTGGGATTCGCGCAGAGGGTAAATGCCTTTCTGTTGTGACTTATGCGGATCAGGCAGATTTGCTGGCGGAGCTGTTGGCAGTGGACAGGGTTGCGTTGTACACCAGGGCACTTAGTGTTTGGGGCCACGGCGGTGTGAAGATCGCATCCGTCTTGCAGCGTTGTTTGCACCCCGGTGCTCGTAGGACGCACGATGCACAGCTGGTTGCTTATGTTTTCTTCTCCTCGGGTGTACCTTGTTTCCGGATAAAAGTGGAAACAACCTCAACCACGCGACATAGTTGATGCGTGTGAGCCCGACAGTGTTGGTCAGTTTTCTTGGGGTTCGGCTACGTTGGCGAATCTATATCGCCAACTAGGATTTTCGAGTTGGGTTGACGCGGCAGGTATTACTGGATGTCTGAATTTATTGCAGACCTGGATATACGAGTATTTTCCTGCATTTCGACCGCACCGTGACCCGGTTCCTATTGGTGATGGGATGCCCCGTGCCTGTGCGTGGAGTCCGCGATTGGAGAGGAAGTCCGTTGACCGCCTCCGATCGATACGGTTATCGCTTGACAGGGTGTCCCCCTTAGAGGTAAAGTGTATAAATTATTTCTAAATTTGTACAGTAATGTATTATATGAATCTTACTAATTTGAAAAATTTTGTGCAGGTGAACTGGATGCCTTTCGGCCAGATTCCTAGTAATAGGGTACCCAGGACCCTCTACACGGGACTCATACAGTATCGTGAGATCGTGGAGGCGTACATGCCCCAGCGCTGTCTTCACCAGCTTGGATTCGTCCAAGTTGTCCCTCCTCCACCGGCATGGCCGAGTAAGGCGGTCCGATCTGCATCGTAGAAGGTGTACATCGTCCAATGGCCGGATAGCATGATTGCCACGTGGGAGCAGTTTCCGATGGTTGCTCGCTTATGGACTGCAGAGTTGCAAAGGCCACCTACTGGGGTGCCTCCCATGTGTGACCAGCACTACATGGAATGGTACAACCGGTATTCGCACCCGAGGTTGATTAGAGACCTCGACCATGGCGACGACGCCGATGATCATGATATGCCACCGCCAACTGCCGTAGATGCGGTATGTCTGAACAAAAATTTATTGTTGCATTTTTTTAAGTTTTATATATAGTTATTCAATTTTATGTTTTATTTTTTCTTGTGTGTAGTGGATGGGAAAGATAATGCAAGGCGTA